GGGCACCATCAAATTCATCTGGTCTCAGGGTCATGGAGACTGTGTTCCATTAGTCTACTAGACTAATTGATTCCAAACACCTTTGAGTTTCATCACTTTTCTCTCTTCTGCACATAGATCAGTAGTTGCACCATAGATGATCATTCATGAGATTTTAAGATCCTAGTTGCTACTCATCAAAGAACATCTGTCTACTCACAAAGGATGTAGAACTTTGTCTTTGTGGACTATGTTATGCCAATTGTCTTTTTCTTATTTTTAGGATCGAAGATTCAATGATGAAATTGATAAACTAACTGGATACAAGACAAAATCATTATTGTGTATGCCTATCCGAAGCAGTGATGGTGAGATTATTGGTGTGGCCCAAGCAATAAATAAAATTCCTGAAGGAACTCCATTTACTGAAGATGATGAAAAAGTAAGATTTAATGCCTTTTGTGACTTGCACTTTCCATTTTGAACATTGATTGTTGTCACTCTGAAAAATGCTTGAATTACGTGGATAGCTGTTGAATTAGTTCATTCATGAATCAAAGAGCTTTTTCTCATGTTATACAAAGTATAATAGGAGTTTCTTGATATTTCATAGAATGTGGTATAATTGAAAATAATTATTTCATATTTTTCTTAGTTTGCTTTTTATTACAAGCCTCAGTAGTATTTTTGTTATTCCCTGGTTTTTATTTTTCTTATAAATTAGCTTTTTAATTGAGGATCACACCACACTACCACCCATGGCCCAGGGGGAAGACAGGGATTATTCTGTTTCAGGAACTCAGCACTTTCTCTTGTGTTTTCATAACAAATAGGAAGAATTGTTTCTCAGTTCTTATATAAAATCTCAATATAAGGAATGCTATTTAATTGTTATTCCAAATCGCTAATAAAAAAGATAATTATTTTTGTCCCTGAGGAGCATTGCCCTTGGTAGAAGTGATGTATCTTTTGCTCTGGCATCCTGAAATCTTTCATCAGTGGTTTATTCACCAGTTTATATTAAAAACTAAAGTTTTGGCTTTATAGTGCTCACCTCCACAGTGAATATAATCTGATAGAAAACTTATAAAGTTTGTGGTAAAAACAAATCTCAAATTTCTTACACCTGGGTAGCTGTTTTACCATACTCCTATTTGATCAAATATATACATAAATAAAAAGCTATAATTTAACCTTCTGGATGTGGAGTTGCTTTTTGGACAGTGCTAAATGCAGAGTCCTGATGTAGTGCTGTGGGTTAATGCGCCAGACTGTAAAACCGTTTGAACTGCAAGGACGGTGATTCAAGCTCACCAGCTGCTCTTTGGAAACCTTATGCAAGGTTGCTATGGGTCAGAACCGACTCGACAGCAATTAACAACAACAACAATTACTAATGCAGATTCCTGTTGTGTCATGGTGGGATAAAGGACTGGACCAAAAGGTCAGTTTGAACCACAAGGTCAGTGGTTCAAACTCACCAGCTACTCCTTGAAAACCCTATACAGGGTCGCTGTGAATTGGAACTAACTAAATGGCAATTAACAACAACAACAATTACTACTGCATTAATTAATGCAAATTTTTTGGTAAAGGATTAACATAAAGCATGACTACATGGAAACAAGAAGTGTTTTAAGGGAAGAAAGTCCTTTACTGAGGTCATGTTTTTAGTGCATTTTGAATAGCCCAAATTGTGGTAAAGGTTTACAAACTCTTAGTACATAATAGGGACATCAGACAGTTTTTTTGTTTTGTTTTGTTGGTTGTTGGTTGTTGGTTGTTGTTTTTTACCAATTCAATAGGTGACTACTGAGTGTAAAGTGGTTGTGTCGCTGTCATAGGAATCCCAAAGATTAATTCCGTATGTGTTATGTCAAGACTAGAAGCGAGAATCAGCCAGGAGATGTGCTAGGACAGGCCCTTAGTGTCAGGAAAAGTGAAAATTATTTTCACTTGGAAGAGCTGAAGAAGCTTCTTGGATGAGGAGGCATTTAAGCTGATATATGAAGAGAGAATAGCCCCCCTTCAGACAGATCCAAGTGAGAAGCAGTGGACATTTGGACAGATTTATAAATGTTGCTGTTGTTAGGTGCCATTGAGTCAGTACTGACTCATAGTGACCCTCTGCACAGCAGAACAAAACACTGCCCGGTCCTGCGCCAACCTCACAATCATTGCTATGCCTGAACCCATCACTGTTGTCACTGTGCCAATCCATCTCATTGGGGTCTTCCTCTTTTACTTCAACCCTCCACTTTACCAAACATGATACCCTTCTCCAGTGATTGGTCCCTCATCACAATATGTCTGAAGTATGAGATCATCCTGGCTTCCAGGGAGCATTCTGGCTGTAATTCTTCCAACACTGGTTGGTTTGTT